CTCAGGTGGGGGTCAAGGGCCCTGGTGTGGAGTCTATCCTAAGTTCACCGAGCAGGGACCAGATGGCTTTAAGCCAGGGATGGACGTCAGCACATGCTTTGAAAGGATCACAGGGCTGCTCTGTGGACAGTGAATGACTGCAGGGCAGCAGTGGAAGCAGAGCCATCTGGGGCCACTGCAGTGGTCTGCAGTGACATGGCCCCCACCCTGCCACAATGTGGGACTGGAAATGAGAGGGGTGGTTTGATTTGGGAAGTGATTTGGAGGCAGTGATGGATTGGATGTGGGCAGTGAAGGAAACAGAAGGTGCGAGTCCGATTGTTGGCTTACACCACGGGGAAGATGGGCTGAGTTACTCAGATGGGGTGGACGGTGGAGAAGGGCAGTGCGTGGGGTCGGGGTCCTTGGTAGTGAGAGCTGAGAGTTAGGTTTTTGATGGTCAGTGTGAGATGCCACGAGGCATCCCAGAGGACAGATCTAGAAACTGTTAAATATGCAAGTGTGAAGCAAGAGGTGAGTCCAGGCCAGAGAATTGGGAATTGTCATCCATTAAGATGACATTCCATATGAGACTGGGTGACACCTTCTAGGGAGGCAGTGCAAAGGAGAGAGATGAGCTGGAGCTTGGGGACACTCCATGGTCAAGGGGCAGGAGATGAGTGGGAACCAGCCCAGATAATGAGAAGAGAGAAAGCAGGGGAGGGGACCCAGGTGTCTGGAGAAGACCATGTTTCCACCAAGTGGGGCCATCCAGCCTGGCAATGCAGCTAGAGGCCGCCAGAGGCCGTATGAGCAGAAGACAAAGTCAGAGATGGGCTCTGTCAGAGTAGATGTTGCTGATGGCGCCACAGGAGTGGCATCTCTGGGGGGACAGAGATGAGCTGATCCAGGAGCAGCCTGGAAAGAGCAGCAGGAAGCACACAATTGATAGCGAGTCTCCCCCTAAAATGGAGCAGAGGGTCAGGCAGGGATGAGGACAGAGAGGCAACGCGGAGGTGTGTGTGTAGGGCGACTGAGCAGAGGTGTGGAGTGAGTCTAGTGGGGCAAAGCAGGGAGACCCCACCCCAAGGACACCCACACGTCTTCTGCCAGATCTCATTGCTGGCAGGCGGGCTGCTGAATTTGAGGCTGTCATCTGATAATGGCCTTTGCTTCCTCTTCTGTGAAGACATCCTTAGCACAGAAAGCTGCAGGTGTAAGTGAGATAATCTGTGCGGACACCACGACTTTTCTGGCATTGTAGAGGCCTCGTGCGAGTCTGTACCAAGGAGTGAGATTCTCTGAGAATCTGTTTACAGTCACATGTCACACGATGATGTCTCAGGATTCTCATGAAGTAACACTGTGGTCACTTAGGGTATGTTAAGCACGCTGCACGCTGTCCACACATGGATGAAATTGTCTAACAACGCATTTCTAAGATGTATCGCTGTCACTGAATGACGTGACTATACATCAAGTGCCTTTGGAGAATCTGATGAGCATCCAGGCTGCACAGCCACCGGGAGGCTAATGGTGTGTTCAGGGTCAGTGTTCATGTCATCCAGAGCCAGGTGTCGTTGGCTGCAGAGGGCCGTGCAGAAGGTGTCTGGGAGCAGGAGCTGGGTATGGTTTCTAACGAAGCCTTTTCTTCCTCGCCATCTGAAGAGCAGGGAGCACACTGTGCCACCCGAGAGCCTGGCAGAGCATCTCACAGACTCATTTGATGCTAGACCCTGCACAGCAGGGATGTGTCCTGTGAGGCCTCGTGGGGTGAAGCGGACCCTAGGTAGGAGCTGCAGGGAGAATCGTTTGGCTCTTTGTTGTTTTACAGTCAAGCTCCTTCCACCCCTGGGATGGAGTCAAAATGGAGAGGCAGCATTTATGAGGGTTCAAAGGCCAGAGCCACCCTGTGGAGGGCCCAGGCAGCTGGGACCACAGGGAGAGGGCTGGTGCCCAGAGGAGTGAGGCCTGCTGCTGTGGGCAGAGGGAGGGAGACCCTGCTCCTCCCCTCCCAGCCCCGACAGGAGGCTCTCACTGGCCAATCCTGCCTGGAGCTGGGAGGTCACAGAGTTCCAGAGGAAGGGAAAGGGAGGGAGAGCAGATGGCAGCTGTGTGCAGTGGTCTCCCTTGAGTGGTTTCTCCTTCCACAGCTTCAGCTACCTGTAGTCAGCTGTGTTCTGAAAATATTAAATGGAAAATTCCAGAAATGAACAGCTCCTAGGTGTTTAATTGCATGTCATTCTGAACAGCATGAGGACATCTCACTGTTAAAATGTGTGGCTCCACTTTGGAAAAGACCCAATGGATGTAAAGTTAAGGGTCCCTTTCCACTCTGCCCTCTGCACTCCATTCCCCACCCAGAAGGCACCCAGCATTTCCAGTTTGTGTGCGTCTTTTCCAGCTTTTTGTACCTAGTCTACAGACAGACAGACAGACACACACACACACACACACACACACACCTTTACCACACACATTGTTGCATATTTACACAAATTTCTTCACCTCTGGCGCTTGTACCTTGGGGTCTTTCCACATCTCAACCTGGAAAGGTCCCTCTCTGAATGCCCCACTAGGGGGAGGTGTTGCAATTTATTTAAACAGTCCCCTAACAGAGGACACTTAGGTTGTTTATGTCACTGCTACTACAGAGGATGTTGTAATGAGCAATCTTGTTACATAATCACGGAGCCACAAAAGTCAGTGACTAGGGGATTCTTTAGGAAGATGTAAAATGGGGAGAAAATTTAATAGAAAGTTTGAGACAGATAAGTGGGATAAGTCAGATAAGCGGGGCAGGCTCTGGTGTGGAATCAAGAGAACTAACTCCTAAAAGTAATGAGTCTCCTTCCAAGCCCCTGGCTTCTCACAACTTACCAGCGGTTCCTTTGTTTTACTTTTCTAGAACTGGTGACTGAGCCCAGACCCTTGTGCATGCTAGGCCAGTGCTCTACCATAAGCTACAGCACTAGCCTTTAAAAAAAAAAAAAAAAAAAATATATATATATATATATATATATATAGATAGATAGATAGATAGATGGATAGATAGATAGATAGATATAGATATATATAGATATATAGATATAATTTTTTTTAAAATTTTGAGACAGGTTCTTACAAAGTTGTTGAAGCTGGCCTTGAACTTGGGATCCCCCAGCCTCAGCCTCCCCACTCACTGGGATTATAAGCAAGTGCCACCACACCTGGCTCACTGAGTCTTTAGAGAGAGAAATAAGCTGTGAGAGCTGAGTCGTTTCTCCAGCTCCTTGACTTGTTAATGGTATGACTAAAGTTTCTGATTTGCCAGTGTCCTAGTTAACATGTCCACAAAATGGGGATAACAAGAATAACTACCTCAGCCAGGTGCTGTGGTGCACACCTGTAATCCCAGCAGCTCAGGGGGCTGAGACAGGAGGATCACAAGTTCAAAGCCAGCCTCAGCAAAAGCAAGGTGCTAAGCAACTCAGGGAGACCCTGTCTCTAAATAAAATACAAAATAGGGCTGGGGATGTGGCTCAGTGGTCGAGTGCCCCTGAGTTCAATCCCCGGTTATCTGCCCCCACCAAAAAAAAGAATAACTACCTCACTGGGACATTTTGAGGATTAGATGAAGCTCATGGAAAGTGCTTAGAACAGGGTCTGTCATATAGCCAGAGTTCCATAAATGTGAGCTGTTAAGATCCTTTTGCAAGTGAAGAGAAAAAAACTGAGCAAAGATTCCCACATCCTAAAAGGTAGAACTGGTGCAGGAATCCAGGTCTCGAGGTCTTAGGATACACTAGTAAAACAGCCATCACAACCCCGATATATGGCAATTAATACTAATTATTGCCATGGAATTCACCTGCCCATGTTCTAGGGGACACCTTGTACTGCAGTTCATCAAGTCCAAGATGCATGGGGTAAGAAGTAGTGTTATGTAGGCACCATGGAGGGGGTGGAGGTGGGGAGGAAGGAAGGTAGGGAAAGAGAGGGAGGAAGGAAAGGCAGAGATGGGATGGCGGTGGGGGAGGGAGGCAGAAGAGGAAGAAGCCGAGCACAGCGGCAGGCACCATGTTCCTTATGGAGCCACTGTGCACTCCACATACCCTGCTCTGCTCGGCTCGCTCAGCAGGCTGGGGCCGGGACCTGCACCCCAACCTCCATTTGTCCTTTGCGAGTAGGAGTCCTGGAGGAGGAGAGACAGGACTTGCTCAGCTTTGTTTGCCTGAATTTTCCACCATTCCCAATAATGCCCTTGGCAGTTGATTACAGCTTCCAGCTTCCAGCTTTTGTTCACACCTCGGAACTGTGCTCAGAGTTCCCCTCCAGGAAGCAGTACCAGTGGGCAGTACCCATGCCCAAGCTCTGACTGGCCCTCCAGGGCCTCTCTTTCAAAACCTCAAGTTATCAGTAGGACGTGGGCAGCATCCGTCCTCAGAGGTCCCCCTTTTGACATCTCAACCCCCCCGCCATATTTGCTTAATCAATTCCCTGTGTTAAATTCTCTCCATTAAAATAACTAGAGCGTGGGGCTGGGGCTGGGGCTCAGTGGTAGAGCACTCGCCTAGCACGTGTGAGGCCCTGGGTTCGGACCTCAGCCCCACATAAAAATAAAAATAAATAAAATAAAGGCATTGTGTCCAACTACACCTAAAAAAAATTTAAAAATAAAAATAAATAAAATAACTAGAGCAGATTTGGCACCCTTGCCCGGGACCCTGACTTATGGGGACCTTGTTTCCTGAAATTTTATATGAAAGGCTTCGAATTGATGAAATAAAATCCTACAACAGGGGATTTCCAGGGGCCAGGGCTGTCGGAGCTTTGGAAATGACCTAGTTGAGCCAGCGGTGAACCCAGAGGGAAGGAAGGTCTCACAGCTCAAGTGGTGGGGCGGGGTCCTGACTCTCAGGCAGGTCCTGATGCTCCTCCCACGGTGCCTGTCCTACTCTGCCCATCTTTCTGCTTTGAGGATGGATGGGTCCTTGGCATGCCTCACAGTGGGGTCCTCATCAAACCCCTTTTCCTTCCAGGAAGAACACCTTGCTGATCAACAACGGGTTTGCCATCTCTGCTGCACTCCTGATGGCCTTTGCCCTCCAGGCTGAAGCCTTTGAAATGCTCATAGTGGGACGCTTCATCATGGGCGTGGATGGAGGTGAGACCCCCGTGAGGTGGATGGGGGCAGTGACACGTTCCTAGGAGGTGTCTGGAACTGCCGGCAGTGTTTGGGGCTGTCACAGACTGGGACTCCTGATGGGTATTGACTTGGCAGGACCAAGGATGCTGGAACTCTGCACAGGGAGAAAGTCCAGTGACATGAAGCACTGTTCGCAATGCCCTGGCACCTGACTGAGAACCTCCAGCTGGCAGACAACATCAGCCCGCCCAGCTGGAGGTCTTCAGCATTTCATGTCCTCCTTCGTCACGTCCATCATGAGATCCATATTCCAAGGAAATCTGGGTTTCCAGGGAGCTTCTGCGAGGCCCATGCTTCCCGCCTGCCTGACTCACTTAGTCTCCCAGCACTTCTACGGCACCTGCTCTGCCTCGTGTCCTCGGGCTGAGACACAGCCATCCAGAAGACTCTTGCCCTGCAACTCACATCGCAAGGGGTAGACAGAAAAGAAGCAGATGTACACATCCTAGGAAGAAAGCGAGGGGGCAGGGGTGGCATGGGCTACTCTATAAGGGCCAGTCGGGGAGGAAACACAAGCAGAGACCAGAATGAACCCAGGGTGAGGCCAATACCCAGGGCAGAGTGATGCAGAGTGTGGGTGAAGCCCTGCACCAGGGAACCTGGGGGGAAGGGCAGCCAGGGATGGGGTCAGACGCCAGGAGAGGCTATTCAGGTGTGGGGATGCTTGGTTCAGCACCCAGGATCCAGAATGACCAGCCATCCTGGAGTGTCCAGGACTGGAGTTTCCTGGGATGGATGGTATTGGGCAAACTGGGATGAGCTTCTCATACAGCCCACCTCCTCCACCACTGCCTAGCCTCGGCTCCCTCCCATCCCTGTGACATTTCACAATTGACAAGCAAGAACAGTCACCATGTATTTATTGACAGCTTGATGTATGTCAGCGCTCTGCCAAGCATCTCGCACTTATCCAGCGTGTGCGCAGCCCCCGTACAAGGCAATGACATCACTGTGCCAGCTTCACGGAGGAGCTAGGAAGTCAGCCCACGCCCTCCGCCATGACCCTCACTGCCTCTTCCATTCTGACCTTCTCACTCCCTCACTGCTTTGGGGAGTTGATGAGCATTTTGCCCAGTGAGCAGGAGGAGCATCAGGGTAAGGAAGGTAACAAGATACTCAGGTGCTCATCAAGTGGTCCACATGAGCCGGGAGCCTATGGGCTGTCATTTCCTTCCCACCACAGCAGGAGGAAGTGAGGGTCCTCACCCCATCTTGCAGATGAGTAAGCTAAGCCTGAGAAAGGGGTTCAGTCCACCCAATGAGGAAACCTAAACGCTGGGATCCAAACCCATCACAGCACGTTTTCCCCCTGTTGCCCTGCCCACTGAGCACCAGGTGCTAAATGCATCGGGAGCCAGCTTTTTACTAGGAGGCCAGTTGCTCCTAACATACATGTTTTGGATAAAAGTCCAAATTTCATCTGGTTGATTTTGTGACTTTCCAAATAATTGCTTCTCTTGGCTTTTCAAGCTGTTTTAAGTGGTGTGTCCTGGGCTAAGATGCAGTGGATGAGATTCTGAATTTATAATTAATATCCAGGTCATGCATTCACTTTCCTGGTCCCCCCGCCCCTTAGGAAGGGCTTCCTTGGATACCAACAAGGGGGTGAACTCAGCTCATCTTGGAGCACACTTACTGGTCAGGAGCTATGCTAGAGGCAATGGGAAGCCAAAGCTGGAAAGAAATTTTTGATATTCTCTCAAACTGGTAAAAAATTAGACAATAGTAGCAAGTGCTGACAGTCTTAATTTGCACAGCATTTTGGAAAGAGGAGGTGCAGAGCATATCTGAACTCTCACAGAAATCCCGCAAAACTTAAACTCAAATCTTATCCCCTTCCACCTTGGGGACGGGAAACTGAGGCTAAGAGAAGCTCACAGCCCCTTGCCCCAGGGTCCTGCTGCTTGTGTGTCACAGGGCTTCCAACCAGGACCTCCAGAACATGCCATAGCTCCAGAACGTGCACCCCGTGGGCTAAAGTCAGGAATGCACCTTTGGGAGCACTGCCACCAGTTTAGGCCTACACGGGGCCTTCAGAATAGCCCTGCCGGGCATAAGGGACACAAGGCCTTGAAACCAGCAAGGCCTCATTTTTATTAACAGGTGTGTGCAGTATTTTTGTAAATCATTTTTATGACTATGACTTTTTACCTGACACTTATCTGATAGGCCTCTGGCATGTAAATTTACTTCACAGGCACTGAGGTCATATGTGGGTGACCTATTCTGTAAAATAGGTCTACCCATATCCTCTGTAACCAAGCCCCATAACTTAAATAAAGAGGCAATTCAAGCTGGTGGGAAAAGCTTAGGCTCCAGAGCCAGGGAGCCATTGGGACTCTTTGAACAAGACAACATCTTTGGTCATCTCTAGATGCCACTTGGTGATTAGGAAAGTTACTCAATATCTATGCCTCAGTTTCCTCATCTTTACAATAGAGATAATAGTATATTTACTTCAGAAGGTTATAGGAAAAGCAAATAAGTTAATAGATGCAGAGAGATGGGTAGGACCCCAACTAATGGTAAGCACTATATGTGTTGATTATTATCATCATTGTTACCACCATCATCATCATCATCACCATCACCATCATCACTACCACCATCATCCCCACCACTATCATCACCTCCACCACCACCACTACCACCACCAACATCATAATCACCTCTACAACCACCATCACCACCACCATCACCTCCACCGATTACCAACACCATCATCATCATCTCCACCATTATCTTTAGCACCACCACCATCATTACTTCCATCACCAACACTACCACCGCCAACATCATCACCACCTCCACCAACACTACCACCATTAACATCCCCACCATTATCATTAGCAACACTACCACCTCCACCAACACCACCACTATCAGCTGTATCCTCTCCCATGAAATGCACCTCCCAGCCATACCCTATCGGGGAAATGACGGAGTGCCCAAGGAAACCTTACAATTTGTACAGCAGGCTAGGAATGATGCTTTGGCTCCAAGGTTGTCTATCATCATGAGCAGAGCAGAGGCTAGCGAGGGGCTGGGACCAGAGCGCTCCCCAGGGAACACCACTTTCTGACAGCTGTGTGCCTCCTCCTCAGGCATCTCCCTCAGTGTGCTCCCCATGTACCTCAACGAGATCTCACCCAAAGAGATCCGCGGCTCTCTGGGGCAGGTGACCGCCATCTTCATCTGCATTGGGGTGTTCGTTGGGCAGCTGCTGGGCCTGCCTGAGCTGCTGGGAAAGGTGAGTGTGGCTTCTGGCCAACCCCATCACTTCTTCTCACTGTTACCCTGTGCAAGAATCCTTGCTCCAGGAGCTCATCCCCCACAAGCCCCGATCCTGAGTGGTCAAGCCTTTCACTTGTTATTGGAGAGAAGTTGTTGTGTGTCCCTTCATATTTTTAAGACATAAAGAACACAAATTCAACAAATTCAAACCGTACAGGATGTTCAGATCCACCTACCCAGTGACTGTTGCCAGCAGCTCAATTTGCCTTTCATGGGCGTCTTCTGTGCTTTGAAAACCTACATAAACATCCATGGTTTGTTGTGGCTTATTCCATAGAGTCATGCCATACACATTGCTTTGCAACTTGCTGTTTTCATTTAATATAATTTGGGTACCTTCCAAGATGTTAGTTAACTGTATTTCACTCTTGCGTTTTTTTTCTTTTTCCTAAATAAGTAATCTCGCAATCTTCTGGTTTGGCTTGCTGTTTGGTGAACAGGAGACTGGATTCGAATTCCAGCTCAACAGTGTTCTTGCAGTGTGGTCTCAGCAAAAGAGAAGGGTCTCATCCAGGTCCGGGAGGGGTGGGGTGAACTTCCGCTTCTCAAAGGCAGTCCTCAAAAGTGGGCCCCCCAGGGTGAGCAGGAACTAGGCCAGCGGTGGGGGAGGGGTGGGAGAAGACCCTCTGGAGAAAGGGAATCACAGAGAAGGCCCCAAGATGGGACACAGCCCTCAGGAAACAACTGGGAGGGCTTGGGGGCTGAGGAGGGAGGAGGGACCTGCTCACTGGGCCCAGCCAACTTCAATAGGGGAACAGGGAGCACAGGTGGCCCTAGAGCAGGGGATGACATGGCCAGATTCACACTGGAAAGGGGCTCTGGGTGGTAATGGGGAAGCACAGGCCACAGTGGGGAGGGGGAGCAGGGGTGCAGGAGGCTTGGCAGAGGTCCCTGCTGCTGCTCTGGGCGATGAAGGTGGGCTGGGGCCCCGGGGATAGGGAGGAACCAGTGGTAACCAGGGAGGAAGCAGGGCTTGCTGCCCACTATTGGATGAAGGTGAGGGAAGGAGGGAGGGGTCAGGATGCGTCTGGGGGAAACGCTCATGATGGTGGAGAGCCCAGCATGTGTCCAGCGCATGTTGCAGGTGCTTGAAGACCTCAGCTCCTGCGCTGCTGAATTCTAGCGGGAGGCGGCAAGCAGCGGAGACAGTGTTAGTCAGCGGGCTCGGTAAGGAGTGCACTGTTGCCTGGCTCTTTGATTCCCATGTCCTCCTCAATAGCAGGCATGATGGCATGTCCTAAGTCCCTGAGCTCTGCTCAAGAATTACTTCCTCTGGGAAAGTATCGCTGGCAAATAGTGACCGTTCAGTGTGTCCTCAGAACACCTCGTGCACGGGCCTCTCCTGCGCCGTGATTTCTGTTTGCTTCTGCAACCTGCCTCTGTAGTAGAGCAGCCACGCTGACATGTGTGCAGGAGCCCAGAGGCGGTGGGTTTATCCGCCCAATCACAGGTACTTACAATATGCACCAGGCGTTGGGCTCTGCTGCTGGAGTGGTGGGCAGAGCCACCCTGCCCTGGGCAGCTCACAGGAAGGCAGTGGCCAGTGGGCACCAGGTGATGGGAGGCAGAGGTGCCTCCGTGCAGGGTCAGGGATGGTTTTCCTGCCGAGTGATGACTAGGACTTGTCTGGGCCAGAGCTGGTGGGGAGAGGGACAGAAGTGGGTGTTGAGCAGAGGGAACAGTTTGGGGAGTCCCCAGACTCTAATTGAGAGGCAGAAAAACCAGAGGACCAGGGCATAGTGGTGAAGGAAGGGAAAGGAGGAGAGGAGGAGAGGGAGAGGAGAGAGGGAGAGGATGCAGGAGAGAAGAGGGAGAGGGAGGTGCCTTGGAGAGGTGGGGGTCAGATCCCTGGGACAGGAGGGCCACACCTTTCTTGTAAAAAGCACAGAAGAAGGCGTCAGAGGCCTGAGTGCTTGGGGAAATACTCCCAGTCCCACTGCGTCTCTGATGCCCCTCCTGATAACCACTATTTTATTTTCTATGGATGAGTATTTGATTTAAAGATAAGTTTTTTTTTGGCCCTCATATAAGATCAGGCAGGATTTTTCTTTCTGATCCTGGCTTAGTTCTAGTATAAAGTCCTTTCGGGTTCATGCATGTTGTGGCTGATGGCAAGATCTACTTCTTTCCCAAGGCTGCACAGTGACCATACATATTCTTTGTTCGTTCTTCCACCCAGAGGCACTTCTGCTGTCCCACATCCTGGCCGTGTGAGCACGGCAGTGACCCTGGAGTGCAGGCATCCATATGGTGTGGTGATTCTGTCTCCTTGGGTGTTCCCAGAAGAGTGACTGCATGGTCACAGGATAGTTCTATTTTTAACATCTGGAGGCGCCTCCATGCCATTTTCCACAAGGGCTGCATCACTCTCCCTTCCCACCAAGGGCTGGCCGACCCCTACCTCTGTCTTGATGAGAGCCGTCCCCGTAGCTGTGAGGTACCAGCTCATTGTGGTTTCGATTGGCATTTCCCCGACCGAGAGTGCTGCTGAGCATCTTTCCATATGCCCATTGGCCAGTGTTGTGTCTTCATTGAACAAACATCTATCCGGGTTCTTTTCCATTTTTGAAACTGGTTATTTGTTTTTCTGCTATTGAGTTGTGTGGATTTTTAAATATATCTTGATACTAACCCACAGTCTGCCATTTCATTTTACTGGTTGCTTCCTTTGCTGGGTAGTTTGATGTAGCCCCATTATTTACATTGCGCTTTTGTAGCCTGAGCTTTTGGGGCAGTATCCAAAAAATTATTGGCAAGGTCAGTGTCAAGTGGCTTTTTCTCTATGTTCTATTTTAGGAGTTTTATGATTTCAAGTCTTATGTTTAGGTCTTTTATCCATTTTGAGTTGATGTTTGTATATGATAAAAGGGTCCAGTTTCTTTCTTTCTTCTTTCTTTTGTTTTTGTATATGGATATTCAGTTTTCCCAGCGCCATTTATTGAAGAGAATGTTCTTTTCTATTTTGTCTTTTCAGCAAGCTTCTCAAAATTTAATTTTCTATATGTTGGTTGAAGCCTATTTCTGGAGTCTCTTAGGTGTTCCATTGACTGGTGTGTCTGTTTTTATGCTCCTTTGATTACTAACACTGTGTAATATAATTTTAAATCAGGAAGTGTGATGCCTCCAACTTTTTTCCCCCTCAGAAATGCTTTGGCTATTCAGGGTCTTTTGTGGTTCTATGTGAATTTCAGGTTTGTTTAAAACATACATACATGGGAAGGTCACTCTCAATCATGGATTGGAAGAATTAAAACTGCTAACCTATTCATGGTATCCAAAGCAACATACAGATTCAACACAACCCCTATCCAACTTTCAGTGGCCTTCTTCACAGAAATAAGAAGATAAACATGCTTAGAAATGCTCTTGGGCTGCAGCAAGGAGAAGACTGGCTCTCACCAAAGACCCGAGGGCTTCTGCTGGTCAGCCATGAGCTGCCAGGAGCCAGGATTAGAGCAGGTGGACAGGTTGAGTGAGGTTGGTGGGTGACGGGCTGTTGTGTCCTGGGGAGGAGAAGTCAAGGGCACTGTCCCTGCGTCTGACCCCTCTTCAGGTAGAACAGAGGGGCCAGACACAAGACAGGGGCCAGGGAAGAACATGAGAAGCTTTGCAAGGATCAAGAGGACAAGTTCACTAACATGAGCAGCCTGAGAGGCAGAGCTGGACCAGGTACCTAGATTCCCAGGCGGGGACTCTCCCTGGAACCACAGGGCTCACTGGCAGGATGCTGGTCAGGCACAGCTGCCCATGCCTGCCCCCTGACCTCCACCAGCAGAGAAGCCTCACACTGAAAGGTCCCTGGTCCCTGCAGGCTGGCTCTTCCCCATCAGATTGGAATTTCCAGACGGTCTTGACTCTGGGAGGAGGGTGTGTGAGCAACCCATTAGAAGCCTATTTTTGTTTGTTTATTTTATGCTCTTGGGGGGTGGCTATTGGGCTTCTGGTCCAGGCAGGAACATCAGGTGGAAATTTTTCATTTATCTCTTTGGGAATTTACAATGTTCCAGCCAAGTGAGAGCCACAGTTATTCGGCTGAGTGTCAGAATTTCACCTTCTGTGTTTCAATCATGTTTGTCATTTACCTTCAAATCTGAGACAGCTAAGCTTTAAAAAAAAATTTTTAAAATAAAAAAGCTGTGCTTCCATGCAGGCAGCTACTTTGAAACATGAAGGCTGCAGGAAGTGGGAGAAGGTGGTGCTTAGAAGAGGCCCCAGAAGGCAGGAGCTGGGAGCAGGGTGGGCCCTGGCTGCAGTCAGAACGTGCTCAGAGGCACTGTGAGACAGGTGGTGGATGGACACCGATGTGACACTTCATGCTTCCAAAGGATATTTTTAAAAACGCATTTAATATCTATTTATCTTGCAAAAAATGAAAATAAAGGAATTTACGATAATGATAGGCAGACCTATGAGAAGAGAGACGGGAACAATGTGGGTCAGGAATGGTCACATATGCTAGGGACATCCATTCAGATGCAGTGCCGGGGGAAAGGCAAAGAGAAGCTCAGAGCCAATTGCTGCTGTGTGGACTTCACACCCAACTCGGTCCCTATTGTTCCCATGTAGAAGAGTTTGTGCTCATTTCAGAACATTTAGAAATTATAAAAAGGGCTGGGCACGGTGGCGCATGCCTGTAATCCCAGCAGGTCAGAGGCTGAGACAGGAGGATCACAAGTTCAAAGCCAACCTCAGCAACTTACTGAAGCCCAAGCAACTCAGGGAGACCCATTCTCAAAATAAAATATGGAAAGAGCAGAGCTGGGGATGTGGCTCAGTGGTTAAGTGTAACCAATCGACTGGTCAAATTCCCAGTACCAAAAAAAGCACTATAGAAAGGAAGCAAAGTCATTGAAATTCCATCGCTGGTTTGATTTTTATGACTAGGATGAATCCACACCTATTGTATGCAATATGGAAGAGTTTGGAAAGTGAAAATATTAAAATTTCTGTATCTCA